CATTTTTTCATGTGACTATAGATAGCTTTAATTTCTTCATCTGAAAACTGCCTGTTCGTATCCTTTGACCACTTATCAATTCGGCAATGACTTGTATTCTTATCAATTTGACTCAGTTCTCTATATATTTAGAAATGAGGCCTTTATCAGAGACAGGTTATTTTTACAGGTTGTAAAAATTCTTTCTCAATTTTCTGCTTCCCCCCAATCTTGGTTGCATTGGCTTTGTTTGTGCAAAAACTTTTTAAATCAATGTAATCAAAATTATCCATTTTGCATTTCATAATGTTCTCTCTTATTTGGTCATAAATTCTTCTGTTCTCCATAAATCTGATAGGTAAACTATTCCTTGCTCTCCCAATTTGCTTATAGTTTGCCTTTGTATCTAAATTGTATACCCATTCTGACTTTATTTTGGTATATGGTGTAAGATTTCGGTCTATGCCAGCTACAGAACTTCTTGTCTTGCACGCTAGCCTCTGGTAAATCTTGTAAATACTTACAGATTCTCAGTGTGCCTTTAGCAACGTACATGATTATGGTCTGCTTTGGAGATTTCTTCATGGCAGGAGATGCAAAAATTAGTAACTACACTTCTGTAATGACTGTCTTTCATGCTCTGCAACCTTTTGCTATTGTTATTTTTAGATGAGCTGCTTACCAGAAAGCCTACAGGTTACTGGTAAGAATGTCTTGACAGCTACAAAAATTCTTTCTTCAATTCAGGATACACCTTTGTTTGCTTCTCTAGTTAAGAGTCAGTCTCTTGTAGCAATTCTTTTTTTTTTTTTTTGGGTGAGGCAATTGGGGTTAAGTGACTTGCCCAGTCACACAGCTAGTGATTGTTATGTGTTTCAGGCCAGATTTGAATTCAGGTCCTCCTGACTCCAGGGCCGGTGCTCTATTCACTGTGCCACCTAGCTGCCCCCATCCTACAGCAATTCTTGAGGAAGTTGCTAATAAGATACACAGGCAAAGGGGTATAGAAATCTATCCTGACCTACAGGAAAACAGAAAGGGAAGGGGATAAGAGAAGGGGGGAGGGGGAGAGGAGATAGAAGAGAAGGCAGATTAGGAGCAGGGGTATTCAGAATGTACACTACCTTGGGGTGGAGGAAGGGACAAGATGGGGAGAAAATCTGGAACTCAAAATCTTGTGGAAGTCAATGTTGAAAACTAAAAATAAATTAATAAAAAAAAAATAAAAAATTATCAGGGAAAACTGCCCTGATATTCTAGAACCAGAAGATAAAAATACAAACTGAAAGAATCCACTGATCACCTCCTGAACAAGATGCCAAAATGAAAACTGCAAGGAATATTATAGTCAAACTCCAGAGTTCCCAGGTCAAGGTGGAAATACTGCAAGAAGCCAGGAAGAAACAATTAAATTATTGTGGAGCCAGTCAGCATAACCGAAGATTTAGCAGCTTCTATATTAAAGAAATAGGAGGGCTTGGAATATGATAGGATTACAACCAAGAATCACCCAGCAAAACTGGGTGATTTCCTTCGGGGGAAAATGGGCATTCAGTGAAATAAAGGACTTTCAAGCATTCTTGATGAAAAGACCAGAGCTGAACAGAAAATCTGACTTTCAAATACAAGACTCAAGAGAAGCATAACAGGAAAAGGAAATCACAAGGAACTTAATAGGTTAAACTTTACATTCCTACATGAGAAGATATTTGTAACTCATAAGGCTTTTCTCATTATTAGGGTAGCTAGGAGTATATATAGACAGAAGGCACAGGTATGAGTTAAATATGAAGGGATGATATCTAAAAAATAAAATTAAGGTGTGAGAAAGGAATATACTGGGAGAAAGAGAAAGGGAGAGGTAGAATGGGGTAAATTATCTCACATAAAAGAGGCAAGAAAAAGCTTTTACTATGGAGACTCGAGGGGTGAAGTGAGAGGGAGTGAGTGAACCTTACTCTCGTCAGAACTGGCTCAAAGACGGAATAAGATACACAGGCAATGGGGTACAGAAAGCTATCTTACCCTAGAGCAAAGTAGAAGGGGAAGGGGTTAACAGAAGAGGAGGGAATGGCAGTGATAGCGGGAGGGCAGGTTGGCAGAAGGGGTAGTCAGAAGCAAAACATTTTTGAGGACAGGATAAAAGCAGAGAGAATAGAATAAACAGGGGTAGAGGAAACAGGAGAGAGGGAAATAATTAGCAATAGTAACCATGAAAAAAAAATTCTGAAGCACATTTCTCTGATAAAGGTCTCATTTCTCTAACATATGGAGAACTGTCAAATTTATAAAAATAAAAGCCATTCCTCAATTGATAAATGATAAATGATCAAAAATATAATCAGTCTTCAGATGAAGTAATTAAAGCTATCTACAGCCACATGAAAAAATATTCTAACTCACTACTGACTGGAGAAATGCAAATTAAAACAATTCTGAGGTACTACCTCATGCCTATTAATGTTTGGCTAATAGGACAGAAAAGGTAAATGACATGTTGGAAGGAATGTGGGGAAAATGAGACATTAAAATACTGGTGGCAGTTGTGAACTGATTCAACCATTCTATAGAGCAATTTGGAATTATGCCCAAAGGGCACACCCTTTGACCTAGCAATACCACTACTAGGTCTGTATCCCAAAAGAGACAAAAAACAAAAAGAAAAGGACCTATATGTACAAAAATATTTATAGCAGGGACAGCTAGGTGGCACAGTGGATAGACCATTGGCCAGGGAGTCAGGAGGACCTGAGTTCAAATCCAGTCTAAGACACATAATACTCACTAGCTATGTGACTCTGGGCAAGTCACTTAACCCCAACTGCCTCACATAAAAAAATGTATATTTATTTATAGTAGTTGTTTTCTGAGGGTAAAGAATTAGAAATTGAGGGGATGCCCATCAATTGTGGAATGGCTGAACAAGTTGTTGCATGTAATTATGATGGACTACTACTGTACTGTAAGAAATGATGAGCAAGCAGGATGCTCTCAGAAAAACTTGCAACGACTCACAGGAGCTGATGCAAAGTGACATGTATTTTGTACAAAGTAACAGCAATACTATAAGATGATCAGCCATGAATTACTTGGCTATTCTCAAAATACAACAAACCAAGACAACTCTGAAGGATGAAAAATGCTATAAATCCCCAGAGAAAGAACTGATGGTGTCTGAATACAGACTGAAGCATACTTTTTTTTTTACTTCATTTTTCTTGAGTTTTTTCTTTCACAACATGACTATTATGGATATGTTTCACATGACTACACATATATAACCTATATGGAATTAATTTGGAACTCAAAGTTTTTAAAAACAAATGTTAAGAATTGTTTTTACATGTAACTGGGGAAAAATTAAATACTAAAAAATACAAAAAAAAGTCATGAAGAGAATGGAGAATGAGAGCTAGAATCAGAATAATTGGTCAAAGTTAGAAAACCTAGCGTAATTACAAATATCAATGTATTTATAAAACTTACAAAATTACAGTATTTACAAAATGCTTTCCTCACAAGAAGATCAAGAAGAAGGTAAAACATTATCCTCATTAAATAGATGTATAACCTGAAGCTCAGAAGGGTTAAGTCATTTGCCGGTGATTACATAGTTGCCAGGCTTCAAACACAGGTCTCCTGACTCCCAAATACAGCTTGTCTACATCAAAGCTGCCTTAGGATGAGGATAATAGTTTCCAGACATGTCACCAAAAAAGTCAAGGAAAAAACATTTTAGATTTGGTCAAACTGGCCAGAAGACTGGGTGGGGACACTGCACTTCAGCATAGTTCACTGAAATAACTGGGATCAAAGTCACATTTGTCAAGTCAACAAGTATTTATTAAACATTTACTATATGCTAGACACTTTGCTTGCTGGCTTGAGATAGCAAATGGATAAGAGTTAAACAAAAAGGATGTGAACAATTCCTTCAAGAAGAAGTAAATAAGATTTTGGAAAGGATAGTAGATCCAATGAGGATTTTCAAGATTATAAAGTACGACAGGTTTAAAAGTAGATGATGCCAAAAGCATAGTTATTTATGTTGGCAAGAAATGGGATGGTTCTCAGAAGATAATTCATGTCAACTTGAGAACTTCTGCATGGATACAGTGATGAGCAGGGCCACCCAGAGCATTTCATATAGACAAATAGACAAGAAAATAATGACAGAAAGAATATATTTAAATGCCAAGGAAGCCTTAGTCTTTATCTCAATTTTCAATTTTTTAAATAGGCTAAGCTTTAAAAGAAGGTGGCTGGGAAATAACTTGGAACCCTAACAGGAGAACGAAAGTTTTAGAATATTTAGATTATGAATTTTGGCAGCAACAATCAGTGATGGGGTTAAAATAAATTCAGAATTAGATGCAAGGCTAGAATAGATTTAGTCGGAAACTCCTTGATGTGCATATATAGCATTACAACAAAGAAATATCATGTACTTGGGGGGGTGGGGGGAGTGGGGGCAAGGAGGGAGAGGGAATGGGACCTCTAGGTCCTTGGATGTGGCCTTTTGAACTCCTTAGGTAAGTCCAAGTTTTACAGAACAAATCTTTTTATTAAAGGGATTTGTTCTGTGACATTTGGATTCAGTCAAGCACCTGAGGACCTAGAGGGCCACATGTGGCCTTGAGGCTGCAAGTGCCCCACCCCTGCTACGTTCATTCGGGGGAGGGGGAAAAACCTCATTTACTCTGAACTATATGTTGTGTCTTTCCCTGGCAACATAAGCTTTTAGTAACTTTTTTTTACACTATGACATTCTCAATAGATGCTCCAGACCAATGTCCCCATGGCCTTGCCCCAATCCAAAGCAGTTTCGATATTTTATTTACACGAAGACATGATTGTGTGCGTGTAAACATGTTTAGAAGATGGGTATTTAGAGTTCTTCTTTATAAAGTAAAAGATTCTCACAAAGGCCATATGCCAGTATCCCTTTTTCGATCACAGAGGGGGCCCTCTCAAATACCAAATTATTCAACTAAACCCACAGCTCTCATTCCAAGTGATAAGACTGTTATTTTCAATATATTTTCTTTTTTTTAGATCACTTGATAGAAATTTTGTACAGAAAATTTATATTTTATCTTACATAAGGTGACCACGACAGAACTCTAGACAGGTTAGAAGCAGGAAGCTAGAAGGTTAAGAAGGGTTCGAGCCTGCAGACTGTCCACACCTGAATTCCTTTTGGGGTGGAGGGAGTAGGACATGCCCAGTTTAGCACTCCACTTTGGTGAAAGATCAAGAGGAGCTAGGAAAATACAAGGTACTGGATAACCAGTTTCCAGTGTCAGAAGTCATACTGGCTACCCAACTGGTTTCCTGGTCAAGGTTTTGGGATTCCATTAAGATATTTTCTTCCCCTTAGACACAAACTCATTCACTAATCCCCAACAAGTATCATTACATACATCTTGCTCAATTTAAAGAGTAACCCACAGCTGAGACAGTTATTGCTCTATTCTCAGAACAATTTGGCTTTATGATTCACTATACACCTTAGCTGCCCAGAGGAGGAAAAAATAAATCAGCCTGGGGTTGTCTCTTCTGGTGAGGAACAAGTTTTTCTTAGGGAAATGAAGAATTCGACCTCTCCCCAAGTCAACTTCTCAGTAGCAACTATCAGCTGACAGAAATATGCTCTGGCTTCCCATTGGTGGCGACCACTCCACTTCCAGGCAATGGTGCAGAAACTCTGGTTTCTTCAGGTTTTTGGGATCCCTGAGGCCTGGGCACACCTACTGCAATCTGTACTTGGTTCTGTTAAAAGAAACAGACATCATGGCTAAGAATTCAGTCCCTACATGAGGTAGAAAATTGACTTACTGAAGCTAATAACAAATGGAATAGCAAAATGTCTTGTGCCAATATTCTCAGAGTATCGTCCCCACCCAATCTGTACTCCCAGGCCTTATACCTCCTGACTACGATCCTGGCCATTTTCCTATCATACCACTGAGGCTACACCCTTCAGATCTAATCTCCAGAGACAAAGATCTAAAGGAGAACTAAGTCACTGAACTTTGGAACTCCTATCATAGAACTTCATGTTGTCCTGCCAGCAAAAGCCCACTTAAACTATGCCCTGCAAGTTCCAGAACCTACCAGGGGTGGGGAACCTTGGGTGTGGCCTTTTAACTGAGTCCAAGTTTTACACAACAAATCTTTTTATTAAGGGGATTTGTTCTTTGAAGTTTGGATTCAATGAAAGGGCAGCATTTTAGCATTTAAGGACCTGGAGGGCCACATGTGACCTCGAGGCTGCAGGTTCCCTATCCCTGATCTAAACCATGCTTCACCTCAGTCATCTTCCTGCCATGCCATCAAACACATTCCTTTACTTCCTCCTTACTCTATACCTTTCTTACTCTGGAAAGTAATAAATTAAATCTTACCTTTGCTTCTGGAAAGTCAATCAGCTTCTCAATTGTCCCATTAACTACTCATATACCTTCTATAACTCTACCCTTCTCAGGTCACCACTTCCCTTTGAAGGTAAGGACTGTCTTGCATTTATATTTATACCCACAGCATTTAAAACAGTGCCTGGCACATGACAGGCACTTAATAAAGACTTCTGCATTCCTTCATTTTTTGCTTCACTATCAGACAGGCAGAGAGGCCCTTTTCACAGACCCCCTAGCTTCTTTGAGAACTCAGCTCAAATACTAGTTTCTACAGAAGATTTCCTCTGATCCTCCCAGTCGTTAATGTGTGTCCTCACCAAAATTTATCTTGTATCTATATATAATAACTTAGATTTTACATATCCATACATATATATGTACATGTTGTCTCCTTTGATAAGACTGTAGGCTCCGTGAGGGCAGAGACTATTTATTGTCTTTATATCCCCAGGACTCAGCACAGTGCTGGATATATAGCAGGCAGATACAGGCAAAAATTGTGTTCTAATTTTATTTTAAAATAAAAATCTTCATCCTATCTATATTTTCTTTACCTTATGTATTAAAAAAACACTATTAATGCAGTTTATTTCAAGTTATTCTTAAATTCCACTACTTTTAAGTATTAATAATGCTTGTTGATTGATAACTGATTTTTTCAATGTCCTATAATACCAATCACACCACTGTGCAGTTTCTTCCAAATTAACCCTCTTAAAGTTCTAAAACAGAAGACCTTCCTCTAGACTCCTGTCTGAAAACAATGGCTACAACAAAATTTCTGACTATTATATACATTCTATCAAAATGCTTAAAAACTGGAGAAAGACCACATTACATACTACTGCTAACCTTCAGTGTCTGATGCTTAATAAATGCTTGCTGATTAATGAATCAGTACTGGATTTTTCCCATTGTTGTAATCATTTTCTTTATTTCTGTATTAAGTAAATTAAACAACAACGATAATATTTATAAGGTTTTAAAGTTTAAGGCTTGCAAAAACGCCTCACACATAATCTCATTTGATCTTCACAATGACCCAGTGAGGTAGGTGGTATTATCAATTATGAGCCCCATTTTACAGATGAGAAAACTGAGGTGAGATAAGTTAAGACTTGACCAGGGTCACATACCTAATAAGAGTTGGAAGCAGGATATGAGTTCAGATCTTCCTAACTCCAAATACAACGTATCATCTAGTTACCTGCCCTTAAAAAGTAAAAGATAGGGCAGCTAGGTGGCGCAGTGGACAGAGCACTGGCCCTGAAGTCAGGAGGCCCTGAATTCAAATCCGGTCTCAGACCAAACACTTGACACTTACTAGCTGTGTGACCCTGGGCAAGTCACTTAACCCCAATTGCCTTTAATAAAAAAAAGGGGGGGGGAGGGCAGCTGGGTGGGGCAGTGGATAGAGCACCGGCCCTGAAGTCAGGAGGACCCGAGTTCAAATCCGACCTCAGACCAAACACTTAACACTTACTAGCTGTGTGACCCTGGGCAAGTCACTTAACCCCAACTGCCTTTAAAAAAAAAAAAAAGTAAAAGGTAGAAAAAATCCAGGGCCTAAAAACCCAGTAGCCTCTCCACAATCTTTTTCTAGATGACTAAAGAAAGGTAACCCAGCTAAAGAGACACAAAAAAGAAAATTTTTAGGATTATAAAATCTTTGAAAAGATTATCATAATACAAATGAATTCATATATATATTCGAGGTAAAGTGCACTTAAACGCCTTGTTGGCTGATTCAAAGAAAATAAATTAAAATGATAAAATGTAAGCTCTCTGAGTGCAGGAATTGTTTCATTCTTGTCTTTTAATTCCCAGTGTCTAGCACACAATACTTGGTATGTCTTAGGAACTTAATAAAGGCTTCTGGACCAAACGACTAATTAGAAAGGCATGTACAATTAAGAAGGTAAAATTCATTTTAGGTAGCTTTGTACTCTACCTGTGATGATATTCCCACTCCCCAAGGCACAGGCTGGCCAGCAGAAAACCCCTTGCCTGGCTGCTGTGTTACTGCGTTTGGGACACCTAGCTAAGGGTGTTCTTCACTTGCCAGAATATCCACAGGAGCTTCAGCAATGTCTTTGATTGAATGATCCTCCAGAGTTAGTGAAGGGTCAAAGAGCAAGGGAGAAGGAGGGCACTGCATTCCATCACCCACTACATCCAAGTCCTAGAAGAGGGAAAAACAATACCACAGACAAGTCTCATCAGTAAAATCAGAGGAACTGATACCAGCTACATAACCTCATTTTAACCAACTGCAGTCAACTCCTAATTACTCTCACTGACTATTTTTCAAAAAGAAATACAATTTATTAAAAATCTACCTCCAGCTGACTCCACATTGACTCTTCTTCCCAACCTAGCAAAGATGGCACAATCAACAACAAAATGACCAAAAAGCTAAAAGGAAGAAAAGCAGGAAGTACTGCAGATTAGATAATGAATTAGTTGCCTTATCTAATCTATGATTTTGATCAAGTTATATACATTTTACAAATACTCAATTCAACAAACATATATTAAGTGCCCCATATGTATACTTCCCTTGGTGCTAGGCAAGATTCAAAATTTATAGGTCTAATCATAATCCTTGTCCAGAGGACTTATAGTCTATTAAATGACACAAACATTATACTACAAAAGAACGTCTAAGTGTATCGAAGAGATAAAAATAAAGTGTGACGTGAGATCAAAGTCATTACTAACTTTGGGTGAAAGGAGAGTGAGGGAAGGAAAGGCTTCCTAAAGGAAATGCAATTTCAGTTTCTATGGGTAGAAAATCAACAGCCATGCAGCATAGTAAAGAGAAAATTACTGGCACAGAAAAGATCATAAGCAAAAGAAACGGAGGTAGACATGAAGAGGTATGTAAATGGGATGGTACAGAGAAAAGTATAGAATAAAAATGGCAAGGTAAGATAGGGAGGTTGTGGAGGTATGACAAGGTTACTTACTGGGCAACAGAAAGAACAATGACCAAAGAAGTTATCTGAGGCAAGAATAAAAGGTGAAAAGACAAATTAAGAGGCTACTGAAGTAAGCCAAGGTGGATGAGTAATGAGGTCCTATACTGGTATTGGTGGCAACAGAAAGAGAGAAAGGTAGCAGATGCAAGAGTTATTAGGTCAAAATGAAGGGACTAGGTAATTGATATGTGAACAAGAAATCAAAAGATTCTTAACTCAAAACTAAGGTTTTGAATACAGGCGACTGCATGATGATATTAAAATAAAAACCTTGGAATGAGAGAGAGGAGCAGGTTTAGGGGAAAATATGCAAAAGAAATTTTCAAGTAGTTATACCACATTGCATTAATGATGGTAACAAAAGCAGTAAGAGAATGAAAAATATTTTCTCTACATGCCTGACAGATGTCACTTTTCATAAGAATAAACGTTCGCTTAATCAAATTATATCATTTTCCCATGTCAAACTAGGAGTTAAGTCCCATATTTAATCTTGATCCAACCAACACTTTCCACAGATTTTGTTTCTTCCAACTGAACTGGTCATTCCCCACTAGAGATTTAGAATGACCAACAGACCACAGGGAGACATTCTTCTGGGCTCCTGTTTGAAACCAATAGTTACAATAAACCATTGGTCTTGATTCAGGGCCTGTCACAGGCATTGCAGAAGCTCAGATATTAAGAAGAAAATTTATTTGCCACTGTTTTCCAAGGATTTCTCTTTCAACATTAATTTTTTTTCCCTTCATATTGTGGAAGCCAGAAACAAATCAAGAGTTTTATACCTTTATAATGAGTCTGTATCCCCAGTCCCTCAAAATATGATGTTCTAGTTTTGTCATGAATCGCTATGCTCTACCTCAGGTCGCTTTATTTTGTTACTGTGGTTGCTTTTTCTTTATTTTTACTTTTGGTCCTTGATTTTACATCACCTTCATTTCTGAATATACTCCTCTATGTTTAAATACCCAGTGAGTCAATCCAGTAACAAAGAAGGGGAAAAAAGCAGTTCAGCAAAACTAATTAATACATCAAGATTGACAATATATGCAATGATCTATACCCATAGTCATCCACCTCTGCAAAGAAGGAAGATGCATTTTCTAATTTCCTGTACCAGATGATTTTAAAAGAACCATTTTCTTTCGATCTATAATTGTCTTTTAGCTCACAAATGACACTTTGCTAAAGATATGTTTTTTAAATGGATCAAAAGGACTCCTAGCATTTCAGCTAGTGAATGATATACAATGAAAAGTTAGCTTTATGATTTAGATAAATTTATAGAAGTTTTCTACTGCTTTTTTCCAATGTGCCCAAGCATATCACTGAAATAAGAACTAAAACAGCCAGGAATGGAACATACCTAAAAAGGTAAAGGTCAAACTGTGCTGGCAAAAATGTAGTTGCCTGGAGTCTTACAGATCTATGTCATTTTGCACAATGCTTTATACTAAAAAGACAACAGAGAAAACTGGCTCACTATGGTATCTTTTAATTAAATACCATAAAAAGTATCCAACATGTAAGAATTGCACACCAAAAACTTAAGAAAGGAGCCATCAATTAAATCTAGAGCCTCAGATGCTTGTACACAAATGAAGAAAAAAAAAAGTATGAGTAATTTAAAAAAAAAAAATAGGAGCCGAACACAAGAGGTTATATTTGATCTCACAGATAACAATGAAATTTGGGGGAATGAATTACCATAACCAGAATACAACTTTCGAAGCATAATATTATTAAAAAAAAAAAGTTAGATGGTGGGCAAATACATGAGGAAATCCAGAAATCAGTGGAGCATTAGAACTGTGATGAAGAGTATTTGAGGGAAAATCAATTAAGACAGTATTGTCTTTAGAGAAATAGTATTGTCTTTAGAGCACCACAAGGACTGAGACAGAAAAAAGTATTCAGGAAGCAGATCCCAAGTAGATACGATTCTCACCAACAAAAAGGAATTGGTTGCTGTGGTGGAAATGAACTGGCAGAAATGAACCTTGGAAAGGAAGCTCTCCACTCTAGAATTTGTAACAGATGAGAGGGAAATTGGGCACAGTCTAAAATGTATCCTATATTCTTGAACAACATACTTCAAAAGGTTCAGAAAGGATACATAGAGTGGGATCCCCAAAACTTAAATTTTTAAGACACAAAGAGAAATAATTCCAAGAGAAAAAGGGAGAGCTGTCTAAAAAGACCTATGTGACAGAACAGGAACTTAGCAACTTGAAATTTTTTCTTAAAAACACATAAAAAATGAAAGGCAAGAATAAGTAACAGGTTGAATATAAAAGAATGGCACAGTTTTGAAGGAATAGTGCCTAAAAGTCACAATGAAATTAAGGTAGGTGAAAAAACACAAAGTAAAAATGTTTTTTAAAGCCATATTGGAGAAAAGACTGGTATCAAAGAAGGTACAGGATTCAGAGTGAAGAGGATGATAAAAATAGGACTACAGAGAAAATGCAAAATTGCTCAACTCTTAATTTTGCTTCTATTTTCTCTGCCAAGAAATATGAGCTTTGTTCAGGAAAGGATATAATAAAAACAGCTATTAAGAGCTAGTACCCAAGATAAGTAAACAGAGTAAAAGCCTTTAGCCACCAGTCAACATATCCACAGGAACTGACCCTAAAGTACCTACAAAACACACAGACATGGCTGGGAAGCCACCATTAGTGTTCTTTGAAAAACTGAAGAACAGGAGAGGTACCACTGGATTGGCAAGGGAGCAAACTGCCAATTTTCAAAATAGATAAAGAGGACAAAGTCTGCAGACTACAGACCAGTAAGCTTGACCTTAATGCCTGGCAAAATTCTACAATATATTATTAATGGGATGCTTAGTGAACACTTGAAAAAGGAATGAATGATTTTTAAAGGTATTTTAAATGGGTAGTTTTCAAAGGTATGGATAGGGAAGAACAAAGATCACAAAACAGAATGAAGGAATGAATGAATCAAAAACACTTACTGGGGATATATAAAAAGGAAAACAGTCTCTACCCTCAAGAAGCCTACATTCTGGGAGAGAAAAATAATGCATATAAGAAGGTGGTGGACACAGAAAGATGTTTTGGTTTGGGAAATAATAAGGACAGTTAATGAGTGGAGCCATACCACAGTCAAATGACATCCTTTTATAGAAATAATGGTAAGATTGTTCTGATTACTATTCCCAGAGTAAGAGGTGGAAAGGAGGGGAGGGAGACACATTTCTCATGGCAAGATGGCCAGGGTACAGGTTAGATGGGATTTAAAGCAAGGTCTGGATCTGGGGTCAAGACGTGGCTAGAGAGGATACAATGGGCCATGTATATTGGTTCTGGTTGACTCACCAATCAGAACAGCATGGCCCCAGGGCGGTGGTTCCAAAGCTGTGTGGATTAAGTCACCCAGGGCATGGTCTCAGGAGGTCCAGTGGTCCAGAGGGAGCAGCAGCAGGACAGATGGCAAGGAGATGGCCAGGGTGGACGGTCAGATGGGATGTGAAGCATGGTCTAGAGTCTGGGGCCACTAGATAATACGGGCCATGTACGTTGCCGATGACTGACTCACCAATCAGGACAGCACTGCCCCAGGGCCGTGGTTCCAAAGCTGAGTGGATTAAGTCACTAAAATAGATAATTTCAATTATATGAAATTAAATGGTTTTTGCAGGAACAAATTCAATGCAAGTATGATAGGAAAGCAAACTGCTGATTGGGAAAAAAAAATCTTTGCATCAAATATCTCTGATAAGAGTTAGATATTCAAGATATATATGGAATTTACACAAATATAAGACCAAGAGCCATTCTCCCATAGATATGATTTCAAAGAATATGAACAGTTCTTTTAACAACTGTAAACTATTAACCACTATATGAAAGACTGATCCAGATTACTAAATTCTGGTCCCCCACACCACAGGAGGTCAAAAACCTCTTTTCCTATGGAAAAATAACATACACCAAAATATTCATAGCAGCAATTTTCTGACAGCAAAAAGCTAGAGAAAAAAACAGGTGTCCATAAATTAGAGAATGACAAATTGTGGTATGTGAATGTAAATGTAGTATTATTTTACCACAGGAAACAACAAATATAAAGAACTTAGAGATGCATGGGAAGATTTGTACAAAATGATAGAGAATTAAAAAAAAAAAACAAACAGGAAAAATCACGTGCACAATGACAACAGTATAATGGAAAA